GATACACTTGAAAAGCGAAAGCAGTTCGCAATGATAGCTTTTGTAAATGATACCACAAAGAGTGAAGTGAATGCCACAGCGATTTTAGAAAATCTAAACTTTTATACTCCCACTCGTTCCTTAAGAAACAGAAATCAAGCTGAACATTGCATTAGGTCCTAAGTAACATTGATCGATTCTCTTCGTCGACTTTCTCTTTCCGTAATAACTTGAGCACATAACCGTTTCTTGTTGTGTTTGTCGTATAGTCCATTTTATGAAATGACAGGAGCTGGTTTGCCTGCCAGAATTTGATGATATTGATATTGCTTCTCACAGCCGTTAGGTAACCGCCTCCTGTCAAAGTTCATTCATGAGTTGAACCAGAAACGTCTCATAAAATGCTCTATTAGATGCTTGATAAAAGCTTCTTTTACCAATATGTGTGCTGAAACTACCTGGACATGTCTTTAACTGGCCGTGGGAATACAAAGAGAAAGTCGACGAAGAGAATCTGTCAATTTTACTTAGGACCTAATGCAATGTTCAGCTTGAAATATGTTTTAAATTAACAAGCAAAGAACAAACCAAGGTGGCTACATATAGGTGTTCTAATGTGTCAAATTCGTGATTCAGCCATGTTGGATTTTTGTATGGGACAGCGACCGAGTTTGTTTACAATTTGCTCTAAAACCGCATTCCCCCCCCCCCCCCCCCCCGCGACCTCCTTGCCTATATAGTGACAAAGCTGTATCACCATTTATATACCCACCATGGAACAAACTACGCCAGGAACGCGCCTTTAAATCAGCCCGGTGGCAGGCTCGTAGGCAACATTGTATACGGTGACAGCGGGCCCAGTACAGCAAAACAAACGATTTGGGCCCCGGACATGCTGCCTACTGTCAAACATACCTGTTAGTATAGGCCTTGTCACCGGCCTGCTTTAAATAGAATGATGCCTCGCGCAACACGAGAAAAGGGCCTATCATTGTTGATCGATTCTCTTCATAGATTTTCTATATCGCGAATAACCCGACTGCAAATGAATTTTCAATTGAGTGTGTTGTTTCACGCGCAAGCTAACATCATCTTCTGTCGAACTTCGCTGCGAGTTTAGCGAGAAATTCGTTTATGTTGCCGTGGTGAACCAAAGAAAAAGTTGATGAAGAGAATCGATCAACGAGAATAGTTCATTTTCAAATGTTAAGCGAGATGTTATACACGCAGGCAAAAGAACGTAAGAATTCCATAAGAAACACTTATGAATTTTAGCCACAAGAAATCAGTATGAATTTCATTGATTTGCCTTATGAAAAATAATGTTTGACCACTCGTCTTTCAACGCTTAAGAAAATGGAATGGCTAAAGGCGTATAAAGCGAACCCCACACGTATCAATATATTGACGCGAAGGGGAATTATTGACATTAATATTGATGATGTGGATACAGGAATATTGTCAATACCGATGTATTGTCATCAATATTTAATGTATTGACAATACGATTATTGTCAATAAAAGCAATCGTGTAGGGTTCACTTAAGAGCTGCGTTATGTTAGACGAAAATATTTCATAAGTCGCACTTATGAAATTCATATTTGTCGTTCATAAGTCGAGTCTTATGAAATTCTTAAGTCTATTTGCCTCAGTGTAATGAACATTACGAAACAATTCAAGCTGAAAATTGCATTAGGTCCTAAGTAACATTGACAGCGGCTCCGCCGGGATGTTCTGAGGCATAACATCCGTGATCACGCCTTCCTTCGGAAGGGAAGTAAAGCCGTTGGTCTCCGGTTCATGAGTAGATGGGTCGATAGGTAGGGTCCAGGTGTGGAAGCTGCCTCCCTGGCATCGGTAGCATTGGTGCTCAGCACGCAAAACAAGATCGACGGAAAACAAATCAAGGAAAAAAAAGTAACATTGAGAGATTCTCTTCGTCGACTTTCTCTTTACACCCTTCACAGCCATTTTAAGACGTTCCCAGCTCTTTTCAGCTCACAAATCGACGAAAGAAGCTTTTATCTATCTTCTAATACGAGAAACATCACAAGAAACGGTTCTATACCCAACCTATTAACGAAAGAGAAAGTCGATGAAGAGAATCGATCAATGTTTCTTAGTGTTCTTTTCCTTTATATAACGTCGGTCTCTGTTCTGTCGGTGCCAATCACCGACGGACATCGATTGCCATCCATTGACGGCAATCGAATGTGCAGGAAGGCAGCATCCACACCCGCGTAGAATATCGCACCCATTCGACACACATGGACCAGGACCAACGGCTTTACTTCCCTTCCGAAGGAAGACGTGACTAGAGATTTTTATGCCTCAGAAAAATCCCACCGACGTCGGCTGGGATTGAACCCAGACCCATCGGGGTGTTAGAAAGCAGTCACGCTTACCACTACACCACCGGCGCTGGCAATGTTTCTTAGTACCTAATGCAATGTTCAGTTTGAATTGAGGGGGTTAGAAGGAAAGGGGTGTAGGTGACTTTGATCAATTCTCTTCATCGACTTTCTCTTTTGAGAGTCACAGCTTTATTAACAGATTATGTGCTATTTCTGCCACATAGTTTAATAAAGGAGGTTCTAATCTAGCATCCAGAATGGCACACGAATCAAGGAATGTGTTTGCAGCTGAATTATTAACGCAATTGTGCACGGTCCATACAAATTTTAAAAATTTTGTATGGAAAATTGTCTACGCAGGGGAAGGGGGGGAAGAATCCCAAAAAAACTGTCTACGTAGTTAATGAACAGCCCCTTAATGGCTCAAGGGGGTTTCCCATCTTTGAAAATATAACAATAGGAAATAATTAATTTTTTCGATATACGATAAAGAAGGGAACATTCCCTTTTTTCTATATATAAAAGCCTGTATAAAAAAGAAAATAATCAATTCGTTAAATATATGATAAAGAAGGGAATATTGCCTTCTTTGAAAATATAACAAAAGGAAATAATTAATTATTGGATGAACGATAAAGAAGGGAATATTCCTTTCTTTGAATATATAAAGGAGAAAATAATTTATTCTTTGGATGTATGATAAAGAAGGGAAGGGAATATTCCCTTCTTTTAATATATAAGGAAAATATGTAATCAATAGCTTTTGGCAAGGGACTCGGGGTAATGACCATTTGGAATAATGTTATAAATTTGTAATCGATAGTTCAACGTTCCATGCACCGATTTTTCAATCCATAACGAGAAATTCTTCAACTCAGGTCTAGACTCAGGTCGAACAATTCAGGCATAACATTTGATAACGGCACAAAAGCATTTGTAAACAAACTTTCTAAGGCCCTTTACAGCGAACCAAAGTACGCTCACGCAAACCAATACCACTTTCAGAAAGGTGATAGTTGCCCCTATCCGATAATGTTGTTGGTTTGCGTGGGCGTACTTTGTTTCACGTGTAAAGGGCCTTAGAATGTTTGTTTACAAATGCTTTTGTGCCGTTATCAAATGTTATGCCTGAATAAGGTTTAACAGTTTCCGACTGGTATTGCATATTGAATTGGATTGCATACTAGACCCTTTGACTTTTTAAATGGTGAACGAAGTGCTCGAAAACTTGAAGGTTGTCATTTTCTAAAGAGCTTTAAAATGGTTTGGAATCGATAAATACATAGTTCCATAAAAGTAAACGTAGTGTATCATCAATTTAGTAAAGTGAAACTAATCAGAGAGTTTAATCACAGACAACAGACATAACACTTTGAAAAAGTTTTTCATGAAAACATAGTATCTCAAAACATAGGACCTCAGTAACGACATCTCTCGGACTTCTCGCGTAAAACAAGCTTGCTCGCTTGCAAACTTCAAAATTCCAATACAAAATTATCATTTGTATTCAGTATAAATTCCAAAACGAAATTTCCTTCTAAAAATGTACCCTTCTTTTGACCCCTTGCTGTTCTTTCATTTGTCTTAATTTCGGGGTAATGGCCATTCGGGGTAGTAGGACATTCAGGGTAGTGGCATTCGGGGTAATGGCGTTCGGGGTTATGGCGTTCGGGGTAGTGACATTCGGGGTAGTGTCACAGAATCGTGGAAACTGCCTTCCTGCACATTCGATTGCCGTCTATGGATGGCAATCGATGTCCGTCGGTGATTGGCACTAGATTGCGGAACAGAGACCGACGTTAAATAAAGGAAAGAAGAAGAAGAAGAAGTATGACGCGCCTGGCATAGATGGCCCACAGCGACTCACGAAGAGCTACTGATTCCGATCAATAGCGGTGCGGCTTCTTCCTCCTTCTGTGGATGCTCATGTGGGCTGCAGCTCGCTGCTTGCAGGCAGCCTTTCGTTGTGCACTGGAGAACAATGTTCAACACCACGCGCCAAAAGCACTGCTGCTGTTGATGCCGACGACCGGACACCACCACACACGGTGATTGGAACTGAATCCGATCAGCGGTTGAGGGCAGCCTTGATAGCTTTCGTTATGTACTGGATAGCACCATCACTCACCACGCGTTGATTGAACAAACACCGTTTGGTGAGACCGGATGGAATTCAACTTTGAAATCTGTGCTATTGAAATCGCTTTTCGCAGACAATCGGTGATAATTTTAATTATCATAGCAAAAGTTGCATATTCGTGCAATTTTCAATAGTGACATTTTGAAAAAAATATAATAAAGTCTTAATTTCAGCAGATGCATAGAAATATTTCTGATCGATTGGTGATAAAGTTATTGAAATTGGTTCAGGGGCAGCTGAGTTATTAACGTTCAAAATCTTTCATAATTTCGTTACTTGTTCCATTTTCGGTTTTCACAAAGTGTACCCCCATATAGAAATCACAGATGTAGTCCTACGTCAAAACGTTTCTTTTTGAGATTGGTCAGAAATTAAAACTTAAAATAGATGTTAAGTGTTTATTGTAACTTAAACTGGTCTACATTTGATTGACGACGAATAAATAAAGTTTCCAAACGGGGACCTCCATCCGGACCACTAATCATATCACTGTCCTAGACTGTTTGCTATATATGAAAATCCTTACCTCATCTGCCGGTGGAATCAGCGCCGTCAGCTGTTGCTGGACTTGAGTATGTCCGGCATCCATGGCCATCGACCCCAGAGTGTCATCATCCATCGGTTCCTGTTTAATCTCAATTTCATCCGGGTCGAGAATTTCTTCCTTTATTCTGACGACCTCGTCAGAGCTGCCCTTACTTTGACTGATGGACGCAACTGCACCGGGCGGTGCCGGAATCAAAGGAGGAAGTTGCAGCGTCGTCTCCGAACCGGCTTCACTACTTTCGGCGTTCGAACGAGGAACCGTCACTGTTAGTGTAGTTTCGTCGGCTTCCATTTCGATTTTCAAAAAGTCGCCAGCCATAAACGATTCCTCCGAAATTTTAGTATAGTCTTCCAGCCTTACATCGCCGTGCTTGGCAGCAATGTGTTCCGATAGGGTTTCGTAGGTCGTGGCCGTTTCCACGCAAAACCTGCACTCGAACACTTTTAGCTTTCTGTGAGCTCGCAGGTGATATTTCAACGTCGAAGGCGAGATAAACGTTTTGAAGCAGACCAAGCACCGCAGCAAATTGTCTCCGGTATGAGCACGAAGGTGAATCTTCCAATTGGATCGGTCGTTGAACTTCTTGGCGCAGTACTCACAGGTGTACAGATTTTCCTCCGTGTGTAAATTCATATGACGACGTAGCGTGTACGAGTTCCGAAAGGGTCGTGCGCAGATCGTGCATTCTAACCGACCATCCGACCCATAATTCGCTGGAGCGGTCACCTTCTCGACTTCCTTAGATGCAGATGATTCGGCCGAATCGGAAGCTGTCGGCTTGGAAGATACCTCCGACGTGGTAGCAGCTAAACTGGATAAAGGCTTCACGCTGATCGTGGGCTTGGGAGGCGGTGTAGCCACTTTATCCGGTTTCGGTGATTCATCCACGGCAGGGGATTTTGTCCCGATTTGAACTACGCTGGGACTGGCACTGGTATCGATTGGAGCATTCGAGGTAACGCTAGTAATTTTCGGCAGCGGTGCAACGGTCGCTCCATCCGAACCGACAAACTCGCTCTGGCTGACAGTGTTCTCATCGGAGGAACCGTACAACTGCAGCTGGAGATCTCGGATCTCATTCGATTCCTGATATTCCACCGGTCGAATGCTAGTGTTCGGTGCGTCATTTGCCTCCACCGGAACGACGACCTTCTCTTGGCAGGCGCTGTCACCGTCGAGGATGGTACGCAGGAGTTCATCATTTTCGATGCATTTTTCACGGAACTTGCTGTACTCGCTCAGTTTAGAGTCACATATTGCACAAATGGACGCCGGGTAGCTAGCTTTTAGCGTGATCTGAAAGAGAAAGGGTAACGGAAAAATTGGTAAGTTTTCGTTTAAATCGTTTCTTTTCTTGGATTCAAATGTCAATGCCGAGTAACAGCGAATTTTATTAAAAAAAAATGAGGACCATTGTGAGTTTTACTGCACGTACTGTTACCACTATGTAATTCGTTTAGTTTTTCTTTATATGCCTGCTTGTTACGTTTGAGACAGGAATTCATACGATGACCCTCAATATTGTATAAGAAACATTTCGACAGTGAGCATGCATAAGGGCGTATACGCGATGATCGATTCTCTTCATCGTTTTTCTCTTTGCATTGCTACAGCTAAGCGAAACAATTTTGTAGAATTTGTTCAATGTAGAGTTGTAATAGGTTGTATTGGCTTTCAAAAACAACAACAAACGCATAGACAAACGTTAAATCTAGCGAGTTATTAAGAAAAGAGAAAATCGATGAAGAGAATTGATCATCGCGTATACGCCCTTATGAATGCTCACTGTCGATTTGTTTTTTAGTTAACCATTATGTCAAGCTTCTGCATTCATTTTCCATCAGATGTCACTGCTGTTGTTTGCGGTGACATCTATCGGAAACTACGCATAATATGTTTTTCGTTAATTCTAGATAGAGCTGGAATTAGGGTCTAACAGCTTTTGTAAACAATGACTTTTCTCGATAATTTCTAGGAATTCAAGGCACACCAACGCAAACCAACATAACCATCGAGTAGGGGAAGATTTCCCCTACCCGATGGTGATATTGATTTGCTTGGGCGAGCCTTGAGTTTCAAGAAATCATCGGGAGAAGTCATTGCTTACAAAAGCTGTTACGTCCTAATTCCAGCTCTATCTAGAATTGTTCACAGTGCAGTGCAAAACATGTCTGCACTCTGAAAAATCGTCACGTCCGATTTACGTGAAAACATAGGTGGTTTTCGTCCACCTTATTTTTCACGTAACTTTTACCGCAATTCAACTTCGATTATCTACGTAATTATTCAAGTAAATAAGACCTGATTTCCACGTACTGCCTACGTGAAATCGGAGTGAAAACTATTGGAAAACAGGTAACTTTTACGTGATATTCCGTTTGGATTAAAATGCTTTTCACGTAATTTGTACGTGAATTTTGGAAGAGAATAATGGAACTTATTTGTAGAAGCAGTCAATATTATGTAATTTCATCGGGCAGATATAAATTCCTACGTGTTTGAATTGATACTTATATCTACTCATAAAATTGCAAATTATTGACTTCTTGGTAGGTAGAAATGATTGAGATTTTTGTTCATTTCTGTCTAAATATTAATAACTGTTTGCAGACTTAAAATGCGGATGCCACCGTCTGAAATTATAAAAATAGAAAAAGGCTACATATAATCATAAATGAATTAATGTAAATGACTCAAATTACTGCTGCTGGGTTAATTTTGAATTTTTGATGTGTTCTTCCACCACGCTTGGTGACGCCATATTGACTTTTTTTTTGCGTACCTGAAAATCACGTAAATCTCGTTTCGCGGAAATATCGAAGTCCCAAACACACAAACACAAATACACTAAATCTGTTTATGTGAATATACGGTAGATTTCACCAACATGACGTGTAATGCAGGTCAAAGTTACTAACGCCACGTAACATTTGCGATTTTCTAAATACAGATATTTCACGTAATTCGGACGTGAAGATTTTTAGAGTGTGGTACCTCTATATATGCATTTCGATTAACAACCGAAGTCCCTCATGTTTTACATATTCTGTACAAAAAATACTTTCTAAGTCCCAACCCTGACTGGATTTTCACCGTTTTTTTTTTATGAATGGGGCGGGGCAGAAAGTATCTTTTGTGCAGAATATGTAAAAAATTAGGAACTCTGGATGTTAATCTAAATGTATATATTGAGGTACCAGACATGTTTTGCAGTGTCAGATACTCTATTTAGTAGTTTGTGAGAGGGAAATCGCAAATGGAAAGTGCAGGTCGCTGCGATAATCGTCTACTTGGAGCATATTTCGCATATATTGTGAAACAGTGAAAAAGTTATCTAATCGGACATCTTCTTGTAGTGTTTACTAGAATTACTCAGAGGGAGAGATGGGCGAAGGGAATGTTTTGAGCCAAATAAACTTTAAAAATCTGAGCCTATCGATCATACCCATTAGAATTTTGCCGAGGGTTTCTTATTAGGTTAAATTTGAGAGTATTTCAATCGAACAGACATTCAATCACCTTTATGTTTTGTGTGTTTCTCAAATTCAACTAGTTTTTGGAATCAAAAGCAATATTCTAACTCTATTGATTAATTGATGGCACCATGAAATACGCAAAATATTGCGCATTTCTTGTGTTTACTGTTGTGTTATTGTCAGTATCAGACGCTCTATAGTATACAACATCCAACTCCTCCTTGCGTATAAGAGCATCTACACCGCTGTTTCTAAATTAGTTTTGGAAACCGAGTTAGCATGAGTTCCGTCTGTGGCAAATGCGCAAAACCATGGCGTTTTACCACAGGATGATTCACCTGAAATGCGGCAGAACAAAGTTGAACAAGGCTTTTCTGAATATTGTCCACACTAGCCCGAACTTGTTTTGGATGTGCCACGAGTGCGCAAAGCTGATGAAATGTGCTCGGTTCAAAAAGGCGGTTTCGTCGTTTGGTAGTGCGATTAATTCTATCACCGAGAGACAGGAAATCGCACTCGCTGAGCTTAGAAAGGAAATGACTAAGCAAGGCCAGCAGATCGCTCAGCTGTCGAAACGAATCGCATTGACAACTCTAACACACAACGGCACCGCGATGAAGGCTCGCTCACCAGCAAACCGCTTGTTGGTGGTACTATAAAACTGTAATGGATGACAATGTCTTTACCGAGGTCCTTACTGTTCCTGAACCCACCGAGCTGTTTTGGCTGTAGCCTTCTCGTATACATCCTAGCGTGAAATCGGAATCAACCGAGAAGCTGGTCAAAGGTTGTGTACAGTGCGATGATCCGATTAAGGTTGAGCCGCTAGTTAAAAACTACTAGGGACAGCCATATGGGGTTGTACGCAATGGTGACGTAGGGCTACGTGGTCTTATATAATAAATGTTATTTGTTTACTGCAGCAGGAGCTTGTGTTTTGTGTAAGAATAGGAATTTGAGCGGGGTTCTCTCTGTTCATACTCTTTTGTATGACGCCCTTGACATAGATGGCCCATAGCGACTCACGAAGAGCTCCTGATTCCGATCAATAGCGGTGCGGCTTCTTACTCCTTCTATGGATGCTCATGTGGGCTGCAGCTCGCTGCTTGCAGGCAGCCTTTCGTTGTGTACTGGAGAACAATGTTAACGCCACGTGCCGAATGCACTGCTGCTGCTGCTGCTGCTGATGCCGACGACCGGACACCACCACACACGGTGATTGGAACTGTATTCGATCAACGGTTGAGGGCAGCCTTGATAGCTAGTTGCTTGCGGGGACCTTTCGTTGTGTACTGGAGAACACCACCACTCACCACGCGATTATTGAATAAACACCGCATGGTGAGACGGATGGAATTCAACTTTGAAATCCGCAGGCAATCGGTGATAATTTTAATTATCAAAGTAACAGTTGCACATTCGTGCAATTTTCAATAGTGACGTTTTGAAAAATTATAAATCTTAAAGTTATCAGACGCGTAGAAATATTTCTGATCGATTGGTGTTAAAATTATTAAAATTGGTCCAGGGGCAGCTGAGTTATGAACGTTAAAAATCTTTCATAATTTTGTTACATGTTCCATTTTCGGTTTTCACAAAGTGTACCCCCATATAGAAATCACAGACGTAGTCCTACGTCAAAAAGGATCCGATATCAGCCGTATGAGCTTCATCTCGTACAAACTCGCGCCCTAACTACAGGAAGTTGCTCTTACATCGGATACATGGCCGAAAAGAATTTTGTTCCGTGAATTTGAAGACGGTTCAACAAACATGTGGATGCCTCGTTTGAACACGCCTACCATCACGATCTCTCGACTCCCTTCGAAAATCAGAACGCACTGCCTGTCGCATTATGGGAGACCTCGAACCACTCGATCCAGTCGTGCTAGCTGTTTACCGCCATCAAAGTCGTTATATTTCCTGCCATCAGCGTCTTTCTGGCGGGTCTCCCAAGCTTCACAAGTATGCATACATTAATTACAGTAATTTGCCTAATCAGCTTCCGTGTTCCAGTGCATCGCCTCAAGCATCTGCCGGCTGCTTCCAGTTGAGAAGCACTTCTGATACTGCTCATTTACAACATCCGCTTTACTGTTCGAACAAACCTAATTCAGGGTGTCGACTCATTCACAATTTTGAAATTCCCTGATTTTTCCAGATATTTTCCAGGTTTTGTAAAAAAAAATCCAGGTTACAAACATACACTTAAGACTATCATCTCCATTATATCACAATTAGTTGATACTAAGAATCAGTTCCTGCAAGAACAATTAAGCCATATAGAAGACTTTTTCAATTTTTATTAACGAGATTTTTAGAAGACACAGTTAAATATGGTAGACAATTTGAGATGGTTATGGTGAAAAATAGTTTCCCAAGTTTCCCCCAAATGGCGAGATTAAGTCTTGTTCCTTAATTATGCAAAGAATTGAGGAAACGTCAGTACCAAACCAATTTTATTACACGAAAACCACATTACATTCATTATTTCTTCAGCAGATTTTTTTTTTTATTTGTGAGATTTTTAGCTATAGGCTAGTTTATCTCTTTTCTTCAGTAGATGAATTTCTTCTTCAAGTTGTTGTGCTTCTCGCTTAGCGTCCTCCAAGATCTTTGCACGTTTAGCTCGTAATGCCTTGGCTTCGGCTTCCCCCTTCCTCTTCTGCATAGATGCTTTTTTTTGTGATTTTTAGCCGTAGGCTAGTTTATCACATTTGATAGTAGAAGGTCAGGCTTAGGGCCTGCCTCTAAGGAAACGTTTCAGTCTAACATTAACGTAACGTAAAACTGGCTCTGAGACAACATTTAAAAAAACTT